AAGTTCAGACACTCAGTCAGTTTCTCCAACAGCCTAAAAGGAAACACATAGAAGTTGCCTTGAGGATTGTAAAATATGTTAAGTACCATCTAAGACAAGGAATTCTCCTATCCAGTAATCAGAGTAACACAATTATTGCATTATGTGATGCAGACTGGGTTACTTGTCAGTCACAAGCTTCTTAGTAAAGGTGGGTGATTCTTTAGTTTCTTAGAAATCTAAGAACCAAACTATTGTATGTCGAAGTTCTGCGGAAGCTGAAACTAAAAGTCTAGCAACAACAATGGCTGAATTAATTTGGCTTCAAGGTTTGTTGACAGAAGTTGATACACAAATCAAACTACGTATTGTTATATACAGAGTTAACAAAACAGCTATACAAATAGCTACAAACCCAATTTACCCCGATAGAACCAAACATATTGAAATCGATTATCAATTTGTGAGCGAAAGAATTCAATAGAGACTTATCACTACAAAATATATTGCTACAAAAGATTAACCTGCAGACATTTTCACAAAAGGACTTACTAAAGTGCAACATGAGTACCTAAATTCCAAGCTAGGTGTTTTAAATATTTTTACACCACCTAGTTTGAAAGGGGGTGTTGAGTAATGTAAGGGGTTGTTTGGTCCGCGGGATAAAATGGGATAAGGTAAGAGATTAAATTTATACAATATTTGGTTGATAGTAAGGACACGTTTGGCCATAAATTTTGCCAAAATAAATTTGTGTTTTATTTGGCAAACACATGTTTGACCATAGATTTTGGCTACATTTTGACAAAATCCCAAATCCCAATAGCTGGTTTTGGGCCAAAATATCACTATTATATTTTTTAAAAATTGCCCCAAACTTTTATATTTTATAAAAGAGCCCACCATTTATTATTTTGTAATAATGTTGCTTTGTCTTCTCAGTCATCTGATAGTGTATCATGTAGTTCATTATAAAAATGATAATTTTGTACCAAATTTATTTATGTTCAGGACTATGGTTTGTGGTAATATAATGAATGTTATTGATAATTGTACTGTTGGGTATTTGTGACAGTTTTTAGAACTTGTGGGTATAAGTCATGTTTCATATTTTTTCAAAATAAATTCGAGAAATATGTTTTGAAAACTGATGTCCAAACACATTTTCATCTTCAAACCAAACTTCACTCAAATCAAATTTGGGAATCCATGGCCAAACGCTATCTAAAAATTTATCGTGTGATTAAATTTATACCATCAACCAAACATGGTATAATTTAATTCCAGGCTTGATACTGGATATCCCACCTTGTCCCACCTTATCCCACCTTATCCCATCAAACTTGAGATTATTTTATTCCATCTCCCAGATAGGATAATTAGTCTAGGAATTATAATCTCGAGATAATATAGTCCGTGTACCAAACGACCCCTAAGAGTACAAAAATCTTTACAGAGTTAGTTATTGTTAGTTGTTAGTAGAGTTAGGAACTAGTTAAGTTGTTAGAAAATATACTGTTAAGGAGTGTGCATAAAGTCAGTTTATACTCTACTATTCTGTATGTTTATTGGAAATGAAATTCTCCTATATTTCTTCTCTCTCTCTCAGCGACTTCACCTTCTTCATTCTAAAGCTTAATTTATTTTTACACAGTGAATTGCAATAATCTACTACCTCTGTTAGAGCCCGTTTGGACATAGGAAATTTTTTATTTTTTTTCGAAATCAACGTTTGGCTATAAAATTTTCAATTTTCACTTGAATTTTTTTTTTACTTTTTTTTTTTTGGAATTTTACAATTCTTATGTCCAAATGCCCACTTAATATAAATACTGAATAACTCTACTCATTTGTTTACCAAAATTTATTTAAAGAGGAGAAACTCACCCTAGGCTTGGTGTCTAAAAAGTAACTGTACTTTTGGATATGTAAAACCATTTCTAGAATTAAGCTTCTGAAAATTAACCCCATGAAATTTTCACCTTCTTTTCTACATTTAAAGTAGAAACTCAGAATCTATTTGCCTCTCCATATCCAACATACTGAGAGGTTTAAGGATGTTGTACGTGGGAACAATCACAGTTATAAAGTGCCACATAGACAATGACATAACCTACGGATACTTTCTGACTACTGCCCAAGTTGACTCAATACTCCTGGATTCTTGGGAATATCTTGCTATTTAGCAGTATGCTTCAACTATACGTCCTCCAATTTTCAACAATGGCATCATCAGTAAAATTTATGTCCTCCAATTTTCAACAATGGCATCGTCAGTAAAATTTCGGAAATTAAAGGTGTCTTTTTAATTTTGACAGTCAACACCAAACAACATGTCAGAGGTTGGAAATATTTGGATGGCTCCAATGTTAACTTTACAGCTTTGAATTTGCATTCTGAAAATAATTGGAAATTTCCTTTCCCAAATTTTCAATTCATTTATTGTTGCAAATTTTAAAAGGTATCATTATTTATTTTATTATTAACTTAAATTTCCAAGACGGACGTCAAACCATTTGATTAACCGAAATTAATACTTTGAATTTGCAATTAAATAATACAGCTGCAAGTTAAATTTTCCTTATTTTAAATTAAATTAAAATTTATCTTTTCCCCAGTTTTCAATCTTTATTATTTTCGTCCTTCAACTTTTTTCTAGCAAAACCCTAATTTCACAACTCCTCAAGAAATTGTGAAAGCAAGAAAAATTACCCTCTTTTTCTCATTTCTAAAAATTAGTTTGCTGTACTTTGCTCTGCAGTAGCAGAGAGTTAGCCACAGTTCAGAGTGTCAGTATGCATTCTAGATTTTCACCACAGAAATTAGTTTGTCTGTTCAGATTATATTCATAAACATACAAACTGATTCCAGCAGTTGAAGATTTTACTGAGTTAGTTGGTGTTAGTTTTCTTTCTTCTGTTGTATTTGGTAAAGATTGTATTTTTATCTTGCTGTTGTTCTTAAGTTTTCAGTTCTTGCTAAAAAAAAGTAACTTTTTTCTAGTTGGGATTTAAGTACTTCAAAGTTTTAAGTGTTTTGGCTTTTTTACTTGTTAATAGTTCTGGGGTTACAGTTAGAGGTGTTAGTATGTTGTTTGATCTGTTGCTTTTGGTAAAGATTGTATTTTTACTGTGATTTTTTGTTCTGACGTTTTTAGCACCTGAAAGATTTGATCTTTTTCTAGTTTGGGATTTGAGTTTATAACAGTTTTCAGGGTTTAGGGGTTTTGAGGGTTTATTTTTGTGTATATGAATGGAGGAGAAGGAAGGGCTTAATAGTTCAGGGTTTACAATTAGAAGCGATGAAGCTTCTGAAAATTACAAAATGGCCCCAAGGAATGAAACTACCAATGGATTTAGTGGATTAGTGGCTGCGGTCACACCAGTAAATCCAGTGAGTATGGCGACGCCATCTACAGAAGTGAAGAAGAAGAGGGGAAGGCCTAAGAAATATGGACCAGATGGTTCTGTAAACACTGCATTATCACCAATGCCAATATCAGCTTCAATCCCACTTTCAGGAGATTTTTCAGGTTGGAAAAACAGTGGAAGCCGCCCGGTTGAGTCCTTCCAAAAGAAGCAGAAGTTTGAGCTTTCAAGTCCAGGTAACATTATCCCTATTCTGTTGATTTATTTTAGAATCTTGAACTGAAGTTTGGATTTTTGATGTGCTTCCTATAAAAGCTTAAAATGGTCTAACACACTCTCTCTGACTGTTGAATAGTTATTTGTGCTCATTAATGTACAAAATTTTGAATTTGCTGGTGTAGATAGGTTTTCTGGGTTCTGTTTTGTTCTGCATTCTATCTTATAGTTGAATTTTTTTTAAAAAGTTTGCAACTTGGGTCCCGTATCTAAAACTGATCTCGTTCTTTGGCATTTATGATGCTGAATGTGGGGTATATTTCTTCGCATTTTTAGTTCAGTAGTTATCTGGTGGAGAAGCAGGATGATGTGGTCAACAAACAGAGTATACCACTTGGTATGAGTTCTTATAAGCTTATGTGGTCACAATCATGTGTCCTTACCCCAATATTTTTAGGAAACAAGGTGAAATAGAATAAAGAACTAATTGAATAATGAAAAAGCTCGTTAGCTATTTTAAAAGGATATGGCAGTGCGTAATGTGATACTTGATGCATGATATCTACATATTCGGTTTTAACATTGGTTATTTTGCAAGACGGAAGAAATACAGATTTTGAAAGTAGGTTGAAATATACTATGATATATCTAATGATGCTATGGAACACAAACTGCTGTAGGATTCAACAAATGATATAACAAAGCATGGATCTGATGCAGATACACTTTAGAAGATTCAGTCGTCTACTATCCTATAAGACATTCTGATGCTGATGTCAGAGACTACTTTTTTAACTAGTAAACTAATAACAATGAAAAGATTCTGCTCCTCATTAATGAACGACTTATTTGCAGATAGTCAATTCGCCTGATAAAAGTAATATCCTTTTACTACCTGATTTTCCTAGAAAGGATGTTCTTCCAAAGTTTAATGATGCCAACATTTACTTTCACTGGCAGTGTATTTGAGAATAATCCGTGCTCTAATAGTGATAACAAGACAATCATCATTATGCAACACATAGAAAGATATTTGAATTTGGAGACTAGAACATCAAGTGGATGTGGGAACTGATTAAATTAAAAAAATTAAATTGACCTCTTTGTGATATTCAGCTTCTGAAGTAGTCTATATAGATATCATCCTCATTTTATTTGTGGGAAGCTTGATATTATTCGTTTAACTGTTCATTTTAGCATTATTTTGAAGATCTCGGTTTGCTTGAGCTATTGTTGCAATTGTATTTAATTTCCTTAGGGGAGAGGGTGCCATACTCTGCTGCGGCAAATTTTTCACCACATATTGGATACTCTGGTGGTGCAAACTTTACACCACATGTGATCACTGTTAATGCTGGCGAGGTATGCCTTATCTATTAGTTCATATATTTGTACTGCATTACTACCACTTTGAAAAGCTTGCTTTATATTTGGCAGCTTCACAGCATAAATTTAATTCACCATGTCCGCGAAGAGACGAAATTGCTCCTATCCCTGCCGTTAAGTTACCTGTTAAACCTCAAAGTAATTTGGATGTAGTTATTTTGTTGTAGCAATGATTGCACGTTTAGCTTCCATGGCTTCTTCAAATGCATTGGGGACAAAAATGTAAAGTAGCATACTGACAGCTGACATTCTCTACTAGAACCAATATACATGGCTGCCTCTTTGTAGAGGACAATAATACTCGCATGTTATAAGTAGATTCTGTAGTTAATATTTCATCTCTTACAGATGTTCTCATCCAAGGATGAAAGTTCTTCAGACTCCAGCAAGCCCAGTTTCTGCGTCTGTCTTTATGCACAAAGCAATATGAAGTGTGATGTAAAATGCCCTTTTCTGTTAAGGCATAAGTTAAATTCAGACAAATTTTATGATTTTTACCTTGTTGCAACTTGCAATGCCAGCTTTGGGCCCTTTAGGCTGTACCTGGATTGTGATGGTGATTTTACACTGCTGAACTGGAATGAAATATATTGGTACTTTTCATTTTAAGCCTAATAGAGTGGACACGCCTAGATTCCTCTAGAAAAATATTGCCGAAAATGCCAACTTTTAGGAAAAGGTAAAGTCGAAGAGGACAAAAAGTTAGGAGCGGTAGTGTTAAACTTTTAATGGATACTCTAACAGTGCCTTATCAAAAAAATGGATACTCTAACAGTGGTTATTACTTTGTGTTTGTTATTGGTGATAGCATATCACAATTGATAATTAAATAACTAACTTGTGCTTAACTCTGGCTGCTATCATCAAAAAGTAAGTTTTCTACTTTTCTCAATTATGCATCTGCATATATAATAGGAATGCTCTTATATTATCAGACTGAGCAGTTAGATGTACAACTGGTAGATATCTTAACATGTGGAAGTGGACATTGTTCTTAGGTTGTAAAGAAGCTGGTTTTTATTGCTGATTTCTATTTTTTTAAGATGGAACTAGCGTGTGGTTGCTAAAGTCTAATTTAATTATTTCCTCATGGGAGGTTTTTGAAGTACAACCTTGAGGTAAGAAGACACTAGGTTCAATCTCATAAAAGTTGGAGATAGGCATCTTGTGATAATCCAATTGTTCAATCTACAACAACAACAATTATTCTTCAATCTGGAACTAGTATACCAGAAGTTTAATCAAGAGTTTGTATATATTCTTTATTTTATGTATATTCTAATGTAATTTTGTGGTATCCAGGAACCTAAATAGGATAGTCAATACAAAAGTTTGAGTTTGAAATTTGGGTGGAATGGGAGATTTCATATTAATTGATGGAATGTTCATTCCTCCTTGTTTGTGGAGCATCATACTGGCAATAAATGAAACACTGGATTAGGCAGAACCAGAAGCTAATAGCACTAGGGGTGGCAAATGGGTTGTTTGGGCTGAGTTTGGGTTGGCCAAGATGGGCTGCACTAATAATTGGGTCAATGCCCAACCCAACCTAAATTTTACTTGGGTCAAGATGGGCTGGGTCAAGATGGGCTAAACAATGGGTCATATCCCAACCCGCCCAACTTGACCCAAATATTTTGTTTCTTCACATTCAAATACTTGCATAAAATAGAAAATTTGTGTGACTCCTGCAAATCTGTTTCGTGATATGTTTGACATATGATAAGTTATTTCTGCTTTCTCAGCTAGATTGAGAATTTGAGATTCTTTCTTTTTTCTTTCATTTTTTATTTTTTTAAGTCTTACTAGTTTTTCACGTGACAAAACTTGTACAAGGGAATCATGGTAACTAATTGATATATACAAAGTACCTGACTCATCTTGCTTAGTAAATTTATAAGAATTTCCCTGTTTAAATACATAAGTGTTTTATCAAGTATCAACTACCAATGGTTTAGAATAAACTTTAGATCTATCTCATATGCAAAGATATCTTGCCAAATATCATGTAACAGAGTATTTCCCAAGTAAGGATTTGATATTCCATTACCCAGTTCCAATTTGGGATGCACTAAACCCATTTACATGTGGTTATCAAATTCATTACAACGAATTAGTGTATACTAGATGAGTGATTATCTAAACTACTATCAACAAATTAATTGCCGTGCATACAATTAATTGCAGTTCCAAGTAAAGATTCAAGTCAACATCTTCTTCAACACAAACTTTTCCTCTTCCTTTTTCTAGCACCACAATTATCCTGTCAAAGCATCACACAGCAGAAGTAAAATGAGAAATCACAATTTTGGAAGGTGTGCATAAATGGAGAACTTAATATACAATCAGGTGAAAAACCTGAACCATACCAAGATTCAATTTTTTTGAAAGTGTAGCAGCAATTTTCTCCACATCTATTGCAATGTCCTCCTCTTCAGAATCATCACAAGCTAAAAATAAGAAAATTTAAAAAGTTGTCAAACTACAAGAAAGTTCATAAAATAAAAATCACATGATACTAATTATAGTGTACCTTGATGTCCATAAATCCAATCTCTAGAACACAACTTAGCTTCTGCATTCTCCGGTAAAATAGAACTCTGGAATTTGCCAATAACTCGACCACCAACACTAAAAGTTGACTCGGATGCAACTGTGCTGATAGGTATACTTAACAGGTCACGAGCCATCAATGAGAGTTCAGGATACTTACTCCTATTATCTTTCCAAAATGTAAGCACGTCTAAATTTTCATTTCCTTTGCGAACTAATACAGGCTTTTCCAAGTATAAATCCAACTGTGTCTTTTCTGAACTATACTCAGACGGACTTTCAAACATGTCAAATTCATTCATTTCGTCCATTGTTTCATCATAACATCCATGACTACTACTTCCAACAATCCCAACATCAGATATTGTTATGTATTCTTTAAACAACCTATGCAAATTATCCTCAACAATCTTAACTTTTTCATTGCAAGTCAAAGGATCATGTTTTGAGAAGCAAAACTTTATCAATTTTAACTTATATCGAGGATCAAGTACGACCGCCATAGAAGCAATTGGACTATAGTTGTCTTGCCAATATTTTGTAAACTTCTTCTCCATTTCCATAGCCATCGCCTTAATATTAGGATCCTCACTACCTATCTCTTCCCTTATCAACATATGGATTTTCCAAACTTTATGAAAATATAAATTGGCTGTAGGATAACGGCTCCCAAAAAATAGTGTAGTGATTTCATAAAAAGGCCTTAGAAACTTAGCAATTGTTTCAGCTTTAACCCAATCCTCATCTGAAGGGCAACATGTAAAATCTTTGTCAAGTATCTTGAAGTCAGAAAATGCTCGACGATAAGGAAAAGCGCTATCAAGCATCAAATATGTATAATCCACCTTGTAGACACATCTTGGCGCACTTTTCCTGTTAACTTTAAACCAAGATTCTTGATACACTCAACAAATTTTACAATCCTTGACTCAGAACCTTTAATATATTTTATACTTTCTCTAATGTTAAAAATAGCACTCTCTATTGTTTTCAAACCTGCTTTAACAATCAAATTCAAAATATGATTTGCACACCTGATATGGACAAAGTCTCCATCACAAAGCAAAGAATCCATCAGCTTAAAATGCTCAATCAAGCAACCCACAACACCATCATTATAACTTGCATTATCTAAAGTTATAGAAAATATTTTCTTTTCAATTCCCCATTCTTTCAACAGATTAATCAACTTTGGACCCAAAATAGCACCACTATGAGGAGGAGCCACATGACGAAAGATTAAAACTCTCTTTTGTAAAATCCAATCCAAATCAACATAGTGCGCAGTAACACAAATATATCCATTTGACGTGATTGATGACCATAAATCAGATGTCAAACTGATTCTATTTGGAATAGCTTCAAGCTCATTTTTTTTACCATCTCTTTTTAATCATGATATAATTTAAGCACATCAACTTTTGCGGTATTTCTTGAAATGGTTTTAACCGTAGGATTCAAGAACGTATGCACTTCTTTAATCCCTTCATATTCTACATAACTAAATGGCAGGTTATGTCTAACTATAGCCTTGGCTACAACTTCACGATATTCTTTATGATCAATTGACGTACCTTGCTTTGATGCTTCAATCTTGTGTTTAGCTAGATGTCGCTTTAAATTTGTTGTTCCAGCTTTTGAGTCAGCCAAAAATATTATTCCGCATTTCTTACATTTAGCTCTAAGTCTATTATCAGGATCCATATCCAATGGCAACTTCTCATAGAAATCCCACACAACAGAAGTAGTTTTACGTTGTCTTTTTGAACTTGAAACACTTATTTCATTGGACTCTACATCATCATGCTCTATCGACATCTTCTTACACAATGAGATCCTACAGTAGATTAAATACCATACATTTAGTTTCTAATTCAGTTTAAATAGCTCATAAACTATGAAACAACAATAGAATCCTAAAATAAAGAGAAATAATGCTATTGTTGGAGCAGAAAGGACAAACGTTTGAAACAAAATAAATGCACGTTGTAGAAATGAGAAAAAATCCCAAATAGTCTCTGATGTATGAGTGTCGGTGTATTTTGATGCTTATTATATAACCATGGACACAAATAAACATAAGGACACCAACCAAGTAACAAAGATGATAGTACAATTTATGATCAATACATTATGCGTGAAAATTCGAGATCCAGTGAAATCTCCAGCAAAGAGTTCGCCGGAGAGAAGGAATACGTCGGAGAAATGGAAGTCGCCGGAAAAAAGACAGAGACCCGAGATCGTATTTGAAGTTCAGAGAGAAACTGGTCGTTCTTTTGAGTGCACAGAGAGTGGAAGAGAAAGCGTCTGTCTTGTGTTTAGGTTTTGGGAGTTTGACGGGTTTGTTTGGGCACCTAAACGGGTTAGAGTTGGGCTAACTATTTTAACGGGTTGAAATGGGTTTAGCCCAGAATGACCCATTAATAAAATTGTTTCAGCCCAACCCATTATTTGCTGGGTTAGTTGGGCGGGTTAGTTGGGCTTGGGCTGAAAATGCCACCCCTAAATAACACCATTACTGCACTTATTTCCTAATTCTCACGTTTGTTAACTTTGTTAATTTTGTAACTACCTGCTTATACAACAACAACAACAACCCCGTAACTACCTGCTTATCAAAATAATAATAAGTTTGTAACTACCTGGAAATTTGTAATCATTATCTGTATTTACCATGTGCATTTGTTGCAGTGGTGCTTTAGGTTGATGGTTGTCATTCAGAAAATTTGGGAGTTCTATCCCTTTCTCGTTTGACTTTGGGCATTAGGTGTGTGGGTGATAAGATCCACGCTCAACTATCTACTTGATGAAAACACGCTTAACGAATTATGCCCTGTATACAAGAAAAATGTCAACTTGTTGTTGGCAAACATTCTGGCAGCTCAGTATTCTTGCAGCTAGATGTGTTTATTTGATTGAAAGTCGATTTACTGTTCTTTCATGGATTTTCTACTTCTGTGAGTGAATTTAAAATCCAAACTGTTTCATTCTTGAATTTTATGTATCAGGATGTCGCAATGAAAATCATTTCATTTGCTCAGCAAGGGTCTAGAGCTATTTGTGTGTTGGCTGCCAATGGCGCAATTTCAAATGTTACACTTGGTCAGCCAAATTCATCTGGTGGAACTCTGACCTATGAGGTGTGACACTTTACTTTGAGAAATTTGATTTGCATGTATGCATCTACTTCATTCGTAGTCAACTGTTTGCATATATTGTATATTCTCTGCATTCTTCTTATAGAAAAGAGCTATTGGCATTCTGCTTGATCTCCTCCTCGTCTTAAAAAGGGAAGCGAAATACTCTAGATGTTTGCATTTCTGCGAATTCTTCGAAACATACAGCCTTGTGCGGCATTATAATAAGGCTGTTTTGAAGCTTTGACATCCAGGTCGATATGGATTAAATTTATTATTGTGCGAAGGCACTTTGCCGCTTCTGTATCATTTCCCTTTTAGTTTGAACATTCTTGTATTGATGTTTGTCATTGACATGTAAAATATAGAGTTCACTCATCTTTGGTGAGACATGTTGTCTAATTTCTATAGTATGCATAGAGAAGTATTGTTCCTTTATCCCCGTCGAACCAATCCAATGAAATAGTTATGGGTAATCTTTCTTCCTTAGATAATGCCTAGTAATCTAACTTATCATTCATGCTTTTTGCAGGGTCGATTTGAAATTCTCTCTCTGACAGGATCGTATATGTCTAGTGATAATGGAGTAACAAAAACCAGAACTGGTGGGATGAGTGTGTCCCTCTCAGGCCCTGACGGTCGAGTTATTGGAGGTGGACTTGCCGGCATGTTGATAGCAGCTGGTCCTATTCAGGTCGGTATCTAAGTACTTGTTGAAGAGTCCCACATCGATCCATAAAGGGATGGGTAGTCTCTTTATATGGCTTGAGCAATCCCAAAAGCTAGCTCCTTGGATTCAGTTAGGCCCAAGGTCTATTTCTGTAACATAGTATCAATTTCATTGCAATTACACGATGTTGGGTCCCTATTTACATTGTCCACGCTCTATATGTCCAGTCGTGGGCGTGAGAGGGGGTGTTGAGTCCCACTTCGGGAGGGAGTTAACAAATGGGTATCCTTATATGGTATTGGGTAATTTTCTCTTCATGAGCTAGCTTTTGGGGTTGAGCTAAGCCCAAAGTTCATTTATCATGGTATCAGAGCATGACCCATTCCAATTCTCTTTCTCGATGTTGGGCCCCATATTAAATTGCCCACGCTTCAGATGTCCAGCCCTGGGCGTGAGAGGGGCGTTGAAAAGTCCCACATCGGTCTATAGAGGGATTGGTGGTCTCTTTATATGGCTTGGACAATCCTTCCCTCATGAGCTAGCTTTTGAGATTGAGTTAGGCCCAAGATTCATTTCTTTAACAGTACTCCATGACTTTAACTCAACATTATTTGAAATACAATCTGAACATCTTGAACTGATCAGGTTGTTATTGGGAGCTTTATTCCTGGTCACCAGCAAGAGCAGGAGCCCAAGAAGCAGAGGTTCGAGCATGCAACTACTTTCGCTGCTATTCCTGCAACTACTTCCGTTTATGAAGAACGAACTACTGAAGCTTACAATAGGCCAAGTCACAATTTTACTTCTTCTACTCCCTTTCCTGTGGATAACACGGTATCACTGAACTCCATACATAGCTCAAGAATCTCTGCATTAGTAAACAATATTTCTATGCGTGGAGAAGAATCTAATAAAGAGCAAGGTCCATCATCTTGACTTAGTTCGGTTGTATTATCGGTGTATTCCTGTACCTTATAGGCTTATTTTTTAGCCTACTTGGAACTTTAGGCTCACCATCCCTTTGTGTGACAAATATTTATATGAGACTTACTTTTGTAGGATGTAATAGGGCATGATTTTTGTCAATTTAACCTAGAAGTTCACTCTTTGTAGGTTGGCATTGGACTTTCGGCCAGTAGAAGCTGTTATTATAACTGTTTTTTGTCTGCTATATCATTCTATCATTTGTTGAACTATATTCCAAATATCAAGAAATAGGTGAAATTTCATAGGTAATGAATGCATCATAACATGAAAATGGTGGCAAATTGAGCTCATTTAATGAATCTATAACTTTTCGAGTCTACCCTTAATTAATAACATTAATCTTATCACTTGGCATATGAAGAAGCAACCAACAATTTCTAAATCCTCTGTAGAGGCTAAGTATAGGGTCATTGTGTTTATTGTTGCTATGACGTCTTGGATTCGTCATAGATGCCATTAACTTGGCATTTTCTTCCAGTTTGTATGTTGTGCAATAATGTTAGCTCCATTCGTATGAGATGTAATCTAGTTTTTCATGATCTTTCCTAACATATTGATGTGGATTTTTTATAAAGGGTTTACCATATTTCGGATTCGTTATTGACTTATATGTCTGTCGTGTTTGTCCATCAACATTTTGGGGTCATATTAGGCTGTACATGCAAACCAGCATATAGTATAAATATATACGAGTGGTTAAAGGGCTGCCAAATACATAAACAGTTAACCCCTTAAGGGATCGTTTGGTATAAGGTATGAGAAGGTATAAGGGTGGTATAAAAATTTAATACCATCTTAATACTCTGTTTGGTTAGCAAACCAGGTGTAAGTTATCCCGGTGTTAATTTTAACACCGGGATAACTCATACTCCGTCCGTTTCAATTTATGTGAACCTATTTTTTTTTTGGTCCGTGTAAAAAAGAATGACCCATTTCCTTATTTGGAAACAATTTACTTTTATGTAATGATTTATAGCCACACAAAATATATGTGCCTCATTTTACACCACAAGTTCAAAAGTCTTCTCTCTTTTCTTAAACTCCGTGCCCAGTGAGATGGTTTCACATAAATTGAAACGGAGGGAGTACCTTATATAAGGTGAGATTATTAACACTAGTATAACTTATATCTTCTTTTTAGAAATTATGCAATTGTCATTCTTAATATAGCATACCAAACAATGAATAAATAACAATTCCAATATAACTAATCCCAGTATAATTTATCCCAATATAATTTATACCGGCATAAATCATATTCCAACCAAACTAAGTTTTCTCGTTTAGGCACTTAAACGAGCCTTAGTGACTGTTAGACACTTTAACTCTCGTCAAAATGTGTCTATTAAACACCTCAGCTATAATAATGAAGCGAGTGAATACTAAGCGCTCTAATATTAAAGAGGAACCAATAAATAAGTGACACGTGTAAAATACCAAAAGAAAAATTAACACAAAATAGTATACCTTCCCTCTCCCCTTCGTTCTCTTCTTCATGGTTCTTTCTTTCTTTCCAGCAACCAAGGATATCTCAATTCCTCACTAATCGATCCCGTGACGAAAAAAGTGAGCTACGTGGTTGAATCTCTCAAGGTTTTGCGAGGGTTTATTCTTTTTAGTTGAGAACTACCGAACGAGCGTCAAACTATTGGTGTTGTTGGAAATGATGTCGTACCCATTTGCAGATTTTTCAAAGGCAGAAAAAGAATAATAACAATGGATTTTGATGTAACTGCAGCGCTTTAACCCATCAACAAAACCGTGAAGATATGGAAACGACCCATAAAGTAGGCGATAGTTTGTAGCTTAGTTTATACTCCTAGTCCTACAGGTAGCAGCGCAGGTCACAGGTTTGCCTTAGAATGATTTCTCGTTCCTCCTAATTACAACTGTACTTACTTGAGGAGAAGCATTGGTAGATACGGAAAACCCCTCTTAGTTTTAATAGCAATTACCATAACGTGGAAGAAGATGATTATGGTAGGAGGGTGTAACGAATCCCACGTTGGAATTGCCACGAAAATAGAAAGCAAAAATTTAAAAAGAAAGAAAATGCAGAGAAAATGATAATCAATTTTCTTTCAAGGTATGTTCTACAATGAGTCCTGGGAGAGTGAACTAGCTAGTGGGGTAACTAATTAAAATAACATAAATGTTTAATCAGAAGATAAGAATTTCGGTTAAAGCTTATTTTTAGAAGAACTCGGGTTACTAATAATCAAATAGAAATAAGAATAATTGATATAAAAGATAGCTGGATAGAAAGCAAAGTAAATCAGTGTATTCCAATAGTATTTCGTGTCTTTACAAATGTTTATCCCTCACCTTTTATAGCTATTTCTAAATAATACGTTTTTTTTCTTCCAGAATGGAGTTATTATGAGCAATTAATGACATTTAATGTAACATTATAATTGGCAATCGTAACTGTTCAGAACAGATTCTATAACGTTTCCTGTAATTAATGCTCATTAACTACATATAATACGTATCTATACTCTTTTGCTATCTAGGTTCATTCTTCCGATGCTTCTTCAAATTATCAAGAGGTTCGAGTACCCATTCCTTCTGATTTTCTTGGATCTTTGCCCTTTTCTGTTAAAGCTCGTGCCTCTTCATCTATTCTTCGCCAACTGTCATTCCTTTACTGATCCACGTGTCATGACACATTATCACATAATTAATTCGATATATTAACTTGATTTTTCCCAATACAGATAGTCCCCCCACTTGCCATTTATTCAACAATAGAATATTTGGGAAGTGAATCTCATTAAAGCGGGATTTTTTGCCGCCATTATACCCTCTCCAGAACTGACACTTCATATGTCACTTTCATTTAATGCTCGTGACACGTGGCATCTTCTGATTGGATCTGCAACTCTTCAGCGTCTTTTAGGGCTTTTTTTGCGGCTACACCAATTACAAAGTGATAGTTTCCATCATGACGTTTCCATTATTACACCTTTTTTTACGGTTGCTTCTGAGTATAAATATAGCCTTTGTCTTTGTCTTTCTCATAGAAAGTTACCTATCTTAGAATATTCATTCTTGTTTTCTTCCTTGTACAACCATGTCTTCTTCAAACCCTAATCCTCGAAGAGTCCCCATTGTTGATGAACTTTCCCTTGCCCTGTTAGAAGTAGAAGAGGGAGAAGATTGCGTAGTTTAGGATCTTCATCTATACGAGGTGTTTATTTACCTCCAG